ATATACAATTGAAGTACCCTTGATTGACGAAAGGCAACCACAGAATTGAAATGAAGGACAAAGCAGAGTAGGATTAAAAAAGTTGATGTCAAAGATGAAGGATAATGTTAGAGAAAGGTATGAAGCTTTTATCAGAGAACAACAGAGATAGAAATAATTGAAGAGGCACCAGAGGTACCAACTGGAAAGAGGATTTACTATATGCCACGTAACCCTGTTGTTGTATCTTTTTGGAAGTGTATAAATAGTCCAGTGATCTGATTTGTGTTTAAGTCAAGATCACAGTAAAAAAATCGGATAGCGGTGAACAAAATTTAATAATAGCATCCAACATAAAAACTGAACAACATCAAGGCAAAAACCAACGTTCTAATCACCTGAAAAACACCTAACAAAAGTGAGCAAAAGGTTCTTTTCTTATAGCTATTTATTGAATACAATACAACAATCAAATGTGTTAAGTCCTTTTGTTAGTCAATAAATGATACCGCAGCTCTTTTGTTATTCAATAAGCGGCACCGCAGCGCAACTACACACAACACCTGTTATCAGGGAAGAGGTTGTCATCAGTAAAGTGAGAATCGTGTTTGATGCCAGTGAAAACCATCACTTCAAGATTATTGGATCAATTAATGTATGAAAAATGAAGATATTACTTTTGGGGATTTCGTCTCAAACGTCCATAATAACCAACCTGTTGTTATAAACAAAACGTTGTTAAGAAGAAATACCATTAGAAGGAATGTACATCTCCAAGGCTTCTGTAATTAACTTTAATCACACTGTACCTTTATCGAATGCTGTCTTGTAACATGCTGTGCACAACGTCAATAATTTTGCATTTAACAGCTTTCAGGTTTCTGGCTGTGAGAACTAACTTGTGTTCATTTGGGCATTATCGTGGCTTTTCAGTGCAGCAGAGACAACTTTTTTCAATCGTTAATTTGGTTTTTTTTACGACAACAATTTTCGAGAATAAAGTTGAGCAGTTGAATTTACAGTTTAAACAAATATTCAACTGAAGATTAACACAAACACACAGAGTGCCTTAACCTGAAAAGTACTTGGCATGTCTTTTCACATAAACATGGCCTCTGGGATATCAAATTGGGCTTGTAGGGCAACATGGTGTGTTTCTTTTGAATAGACACCGTTGCTAAGAAAGAAATAAACTGGATATCATCCTCCTTAAGCTGCCATTGTGTTAATTGACCATTTACGGTAGTGTAACACATTTCACTTTGAGGCTCATTCTCTTGGCTGATGCAGGTCATGCAAAGATGAAGGTCTAAAATATCCTGAGAATCTAGGCCTCCTGGGAATCTCAAAATGGTTTCCTGGATATTAGCTTACAATGGCAGAGGGAGATTATGCTCGCAGTTTTTTGCAGTTCTTTGAAGATTTTTAAGGATTGTTTTTCCTTTTTGCATAACAAAGAAATAGATTTTTGATAAAATATTTGTGATTTGATTAAGTCGATCTAGTTCCTGTATAAGCCCCTATCTATTTTTGATGTCCTTTTCATGTGTTGTTTGCGGGATTCTTTTTGCTACTTCATATAAGGTAAATGTGGCAATCCAAGTTGTTGTTGTCACGAGGCTTCCTCAAATAGTTGAATTTACTAAATTCGGCTATACTTTGATCTTGGACTTAAAAAAAATTAGTTCTTAAACCGTAACCAATCCTTGTTTTTTCCCTGAGATGGTTTTATCGTTACCTCTGTACTTGCAATGGGGCTTTTATCTTGACCCTGTACTTTGCCTTCCACTTTCTTTCTAACTCTGTATTTTTTTCTGTAACCGATCTTCTTCTATTGGCATTTGCTTATGATGCAATTTTAGCAGTTTACTCGATTAATGATCTTTGCTTTTGAAGCTTTCAGTCCAGCCTAGGCCTGTCCACCGAAGGTCGAATAACCTTTAGGGGACGGTAGTCACAGATCTGTGACAACATGACGTCACTTGAAATGATGTCATATAAACCTGATAAAAATTCCTCACTATAGGCTGTTCAGATGCTTAAACATTTCTCTGAACTACCTGTGGTATATCTGTTCATGTTTATGCTGTTGACATGGAAACAAGACCAAATATCGCGAGATGAAAATCTCACCTGATTTTTCAATTCAACATGGCATCGCATTCAAAACGAAAGTTTGACACAGCGGAAGCATTGCTTGTTTTTGATGATATAAGTAGCTGTGATGCCAGCGAAATATCAGAAAACGATGAGGAAGACTCTAATTGTGAGATTTTATCAGAATCTGAATCTTGTGAGTCCATGGATTTATCAGAAAGTGAGGTTGCAGTTGGGTCAGTTGTCACGCCTAGGCCATCGTCATTGTGTTTGGAGAAAGAGGTAGATGAAAAGTCAGAAAGTTTAGAATCTGAAAGTCCTGATGAAATTTCATTGGAAAGAGAAACAAATGTTTTCAAACCAGGGAAAGAGACAAGGAAAATTGGAAAAGGAAAAGCCGTTTCAAGATTTGCAGTAAGCAATGTGACACGTGGCCGACCGAAAAAACATATTCATGCTCAAAGCCAAAATCTTGCTAGCAAGGCATCCAAGAAATCAAGAAAGGACGAGTCTCAGCACTCGAAGTGGGCTAATGATAAAAACTGGAACAAAACATGCTCTGAAAGGGCAATTCCACTGTTTGTTGGAAAACAAGGCCCACAAATGAGAAGGACAAGCCTCCCAGAAAAATTATCATCTAAAGTTTTTTTTGAGCAGTATTTCACTGATGAGGTATGGCAATTACTTGTTGACATGACAAATGCAAATGCTATTGGCAAAAATGTGTCTTCTTGGAAGAACATAAATGTTGCAGAGATGAAGGCATTCTTTGGGTTGTTACTAGCTATGGGCTTGTTGAAATTGCCTAAAATAAAGGACTATTGGAGAAAGATCAATTGGCTTATACATGTCAGTTCTTTTGGAGAGGTAATGCCAAGAGACAGGTTTTTGCAGCTGTATAGATATTTGCATGTTTGTAATGATAATCAGCAAATACCAAGAGGACAAGATGGTCATGATCCTCTATTCAAAATCAGGTCCTTTCTAAATTTGATCTCTGACAGGTTTAGAAATGTATATAAACCATCCAGAGACATATGCATTGATGAAAGCCTCATCCCATACAAAGGAAGAATTTACTTTCGTCAATTCATTCCTAGTAAAAGGGCACGATTTGGCATCAAAGCCTTTGTGTTATGTGAATCTGACACTGGGTATGTTAGTGAGATTGTCATCTATACAGGGAAAGATGCTAACCAAACAATTTCAAAAGGCCTAGCAGAGAAAGTAGTTTTGAAGCTCACTGAAGGCTACCAAGATGTAAATCATCATTTGTACTTGGACAATTATTACACCAAGGCTTGGTTGCTCAAATCCTTAGAGGAAAAGGGAATTTATGCAAGTGGAACAGCCAGAGTGGACAGAAGCGGATTTCCGAAGGAAATAGTGATTGCAAGTAAAAGAGGAAAAGATCGTGGATATTCAGATTGGAGAATGAATGGAAGTATTTTGGCCACATCATGGCTTGACAACAAAGGGGTACATTTTTTGTCTACAATACATGAGCCAGAATACAAAGATGATATCCAGGATAAAGAAAAAGTTGTGAAGCGCCGTGGTAAAAAAGGACACACGGGAGCAGTTGAAATACCTTGCCCACCTATTGTGCAGCCATATAACAAGAAAATGGGTGGTGTCGATTTTTGCGATCACGTGATCAAATTTTACAACATTGGAAGAAGGTCAAGAAAATGGTACAGGAGGGTGCTTTTCCATATTCTTGAGCTGTGCATACATAATGCATTCATCTTGGGATCATGCTTCATCCCTCATGAAGTTGGCAAGAAAACTCCCAAGCGTCAAAACTTTCGTGAGGAGCTGATAGAGTTGCTGATAGGGCAATACCGTGCAAGAAAGCGCACTGTAGGTCGTCCATCTGTAGCACATGAAAATGAGCTCAGATTTCAGAATGTAGGAGTACATCTGCCTGTGTACAACACAGACAGAAAAGACTGCCAATTATGCAAAGAAACTGTGAAGTCAAGCAGAGGTGGAAAGATTGGCAAAATTGATCGACGTGCTGCAGGGGTTCATGTAACATACATATCCTGTGAGATGTGCAATGTACATCTTTGCTTGAATAAAGATAGGAACTGTTTTAAATTATGGCATACTAGAGTCTAATTTACTGGAACTCTTTCAAATCATTTGATTACTGAACATCTCAATTCATAAACTTTTTTTTGCATACTAACTTTTTTTGAATGAACTATTGTTTTGCTATTTTACCTAATATCTAGAATTCTTGAAAGTTTGGTCATAGCAATATCTTTTGGCTATAAGTAACATTATTTCTCTTGAAAGGTTTCCTTTTTTATTTCCTGTAAGTTACTTCAGGGATAGGTAATTTTCTTGTGATAGCAACTGGTATCAAAATAAGAACACGAGTCAAGCGGTTCAGAGCCAGATGATTCTTTAGTTGCAATAATTTACTGAAATAATAAAACAATTGAATATAATTTGGATTCCTGACTTTCTGATGATAGAACTTTATAGTAAATGCAATTTGCTTTGGTAGTGACCAGAACAATGTCCTCTTTTGGCTCCTAAATTATTGAAATGATGGGGAAAAAATTTTTTCGTCAGCCATTTTGAATTATTAATGAGATCACGTGATCATTAATTAGGTTAAATAATTTTTTTCTGGAATACTTCACAAACTGGCAATTCAAAAATATATACTTTACTGGGTCATAATGCACCATTATTCTTCCAAGAAAGACTTTTCTGATGCAAGTATATTGTATGCAAAAAAAACCCAGTCCTCTAAAGGATAATCGATATTCGGTTGCTTGGCTAGGTATTCAGTTACGTCATACACTAATCGAATATTCGGGTGTATTCGATGTAACAAATAGCAATGACTTCGATTATTCGAATAGCAACTGATTAATCAAATAGGATGACTGATCGAATAGCAATGACTAGTCGAATAGCGATGACTGATCAAATAGCAGTGACTGATCATCGAATAGCAATGACTAGTCGAATAGCAGTGACTGATCGAATAGCAAGACTGGTCGAATAGCGATGACTGATCATCGAATAGCAATGACTAGTCGAATAGGATGACTGATCGAATAGCAATGACAGATTAAAAATAAACATGCATGCATGCTGCGGGGAAAACTGCATCCTAAGCAAACTGGGTGGGTAGGGGGTCTGCATAGCGTTGGTAAACCTGCGAAGAATTGGTTCAGGTTTATCGAAGAGCATTTATAGAGCTCTGAATCATCAAAGCCTTATGGACACCTGAGATGTGGCATCGAGGCAATCTTGACGGGGGAATTCGCTAATCAGGGTACGCCGAATGGTTTCTCCTATAATAAAGGAAAATATTACAAAAATAGTTTTCGAATCTGAATAATTTACTGGAGTTGCATTCTTTGATACAGTCAAATTTCAATGAGTTAGTCTTCTGCACTTCAGTAATTTTTTGCCACTTCCAAATCTAAGAATTTTACGTCTACGATAAAAGATATGAGCACCTCTTCTGGGTAATGGTGTTGAGACATTACGTAACTAGGTTTATTTTGAACCTTACTTATCAATCGCTTAAAATAGGCTGGGAATGCTGTTTACTGTGATTTAGTTAATCGCCTTCCATGGCAACTGCTTCGTAGTTTGCTTTGAGGGGGCTCTTGTCAGCAAGGGATGATGTAAAGATGCTAAAATTACCTTAGAAAAATCGTATAAATAGGAAGTCATATGTGGCATTGTTTAGGAGTCATTTTAGAGCGGAAAAACTGCTAGTACTTTACTGAGTAAGTTTTATTTTAACATTCATTTAAACGGTAAAAATCATTTTCGAAATAAGATGAAAAGATCAAGTTTGGTTTGGGAATATTTTGCAAAAATAGACGAAAAACAAGTTAAGTGTAAGCTGTGCGAAGATCGTCTTAGTTATCGTGGTGGAACAAGTTCCATGTTATCACATGTCCGCAGCAAACACCCAACAGTGTGTCAACCTCAACAACAAAACGTCCAGATTCCAACTTCTAATCAGCCTCCATCCCGAGATTCCGCATCAGCCTCAGCTGTCCAAAGTAGCCAACATGTACCGAAAAATCAGCAAACAATGACAAACTACATGATTGGGCAACGAAAGTGTAACTCTGGTAGGGCTGAACAAATCACCACATTGATAGCAAAGATGGTGGCCTTAGATATGATGCCAACTTACATGGTTGAGGGTAAAGGCTTTCGTCAATTTATGGGTTTTATTGAGCCAGACTATAAAGTCCCATCTCACCAAACAATAATGAGACGCATTAATAAAATTTACAACGAAGTCAGGAGAAATATAGAAAAAAGTTTGGAAAACATTACTGATGTTTCTATAACTACTGATGCGTGGACCTCACTTGCAACTGAGTCGTACATTACTGTAACTGCCCATTTTATTGATACAAACTGGGAGATGCAGACATTTGTTGTGGATACCAGTGAAATGGACGAACGACATTCGGCAGAGAACCTGGCAATACGTCTGGAGATGGTGAAGATGGAGTGGAGTTTGGAAGGAAAAATTCGCGTCTGTGTGAGAGATAACGCTGCAAACCAGGTAGCTGCAGGGAGACTTTGCGAAGACTGGGAAGATTTCCCATGTTTTGCCCATACATTGCAATTAGCTGTAAAGGAAGGCTTTGCAATCGAAGAAGTGAATTTACTCATCAAAGCTGCTTCCAAAATTGTCAAATATTTTAAGAAATCTGCGTCAGCAACAACAGCTCTTGATGCAGCCCAGATTAAATTGAAAGTGGAGCAACATCGCCTGATCCAAAGCTGCAAGACAAGATGGAACAGTGTCTACGAAATGTTTCAGCGTTTGGAGAGCCAAAAGCAATGCGTGCAAGTAGTTCTGTCTGATCACAATATTGTCAAGCCAACAAAAGAGGAAAAGTTGCCTCTAAGTGTAGTTCAGTGGAACAAAATTACCTCTCTGTTACCTGTTCTTCATGCGTTACAAATAGCAACAACTGCAATGTCTTCGGAGCAAAACACATCGGTGTCATGTATTCTTCCTGTCGTCACTGGATTGTTGAAAAATTTTTTGGATGTGAAAATACAGGATTGGCAGCTACTGCGAGAATTTAAAAGGAAAGTTTCACAGGTCTTGAAGGAAAGATTTTTTATGGATTTGAAGGGTGATTCTGTTGCTGCAGTTTCATCTGCTTCAGACCCAAGACACAAGAACCTCAAATTCCTGTCTTCTGAAATGCAATTTTCTGTTCAAGAGCATGTGAGGTTTCTGGTCAATCTTGTCACGACTGATAAAGAGCCGGTTGTGGAGGAAGAACCTGCTACAAAGAAATCTGCCATGGTACTTCTACTTGGATCAGATTATTATGATGACCAACAGCTACTACGAGATGAGTACAGCTACTTTCTTGAGGAACCTGCCATGCATCCTAATAGCAACCCATTAATTTGGTGAAAGCAGAATGCTCAAAGGTTTCCCAAGGTTGCATTAATGGCCAAAAGATTTCTCTGTGCTCCCGCAACTTCAGTCCCCTCAGAAAGAGTGTTTTCTGCTGCAGGGAACATCGTTAATAAGAAGAGATGCAGTCTGCTGCCAGAAAATGTCAACGCTTTAATTTTTTTGAACAAAAATTTAATGACAACTTGAACATATTTCAATGCGTATGTTTTACAAACAATCGCTTTCCACATTAAAATTTATAATCTTGCGAGTTTTAAATCTTAGCAGAGAGATTTGATCATTGATTGTATTTTATTGACCACACCCTACCACACCCATGTTTACGCCCATATTCGCCAAATAACCGAATAATCGCTTATATTCTATCCGAATAATCGAATAGTAAAATTTGGGGAGTTGGACAGCCCTAGTCCAGCCTGTCTTTTTTCATGTTTATGTAACATTTGCATGCTATCTCTCAATTGACTTTTATTTTCCTTCAATAGATTTATTTTCAACTTCTGCTTCTGTGACCAATTCCATATTGTCTCTATTGAATGATTTTCTTATTTAAGCATTGCACCCATTGCCTTATGGTTACCATTTTCTAACTGTTTGATTGCTCGGCTGCTTCTCCCATACGTCATTTGTTGATAAATTCATCAAACAAAATTCCTTTGATCTGTAGATCCATTCAAAACTTTTTGTGTGATCTCTTTATTTGGTCGCCACTTTTGTGTGGGAAATTTTCCGAAATTGCCCTGTGCCCAAAAGAACTACCAGTAACAATAAAGAAATTATATGATGTGTTTTCTGTTACGTCTCTCCAGTAACCATGAAAACCTGATCCACTACAATTACCGTATTTCCCTATAAAATCATAAGAGTTATGAAGCAATCAATTAGCCTACAATCTACTAACGTTAGCCATGTTAGGCAAAAAAATACAATCACTGCCAATCACTCTTGCAGCACTTCTGATATTTCCAATGTTTCCATTCATCCACACAGAAAAGTTGTCTCACAGAAAAGTTGTCTCACAGCAAAGTCGAGACATACTTTGTGGTAAACCATTTTCTACCAATTGCTGTGATATACTGCATTGTAAGCAACATTAGAGAGTTTACGATCCGCTACATAGGTCACTACGGCTGCTTAAAGAGGTCTGTGCACTAGTTTTGTCTCCCTGTAGTCACAAAACATGTTACGAATCACAACCTAGTTTGTAGTACGCAGCTTTGGCGCCAAAATCAAATTTGTTTAAAAAAAGGCGGACAACTTAATAATGCTGCATGCTACAGGACTTTTGGATGCTGAAGAGGTTCTAATTTTTGAATATGCCAACAGGAGAAATAACGTTCACGGTATGCTGCCATACCTGAATTACGATCGTTTTGTTCTGGAGGACATGAATGAGAGTGAATGTTTGGTGGATTTTCGGTTTAAGAAGGACGATATTTATAGTCTCGCAGTTGCACTGCGTCTCATTGAGGTTTTGAAATGCACGAATGGCACTGTGCACGTTTGTCATACCCTAGTCGATATGGAGACTTGGTTCCAAGGTTTGGTAGGCCAGTTCCTCAGTTGTGTATGATATTCAATAAAGTAATTGACTTTATTGTTGACACTCATGGACATCTCTTGAGGAGTCTAGACCAGCCTTTACTCTCATGGGAAAATCTGCAACGATATGCAGATGCAATTCACCAAAAAGGCGCTGCTCTAGACAATTGCTGGGGGTTTATTGATGGTACAGTGCGTCCAATTTGTAGGCCTAAACAAAACCAAAGAGTTGTTTACAATGGACATAAACGAGTACATGCCCTGAAATTCCAGTCTGTTGTTGCACCTAATGGCCTTATTGTCAACTTATTTGGACCAGTTGAAGGAAGGCAGCATGACAGTGGGATATTAGGAATGTCTGGTTAGTTGGACCAGCTGGAAAGATACTCGTTTTCACCAACAGGCCAGCCATTGAGTATTCAAGGTGACCCTGCCTATCTTCAAAGAGTGCATCTCCAGTGCCCATTTGCGAGGAGAGTTGTGCTGTCCCCTGAAGAACAAGCCTTCAATCAGTCCATGAGCCAGGTCAGAGTCTCAGTTGAGTGGCTTTTTGGAGACATCGTGAACTATTTCAAGTTCACTGATTTCAAGAAAGACCTCAAGATTGGGCTCAGTGCTGTTGGGAAGATCTATGTTGTTTGTGCCATACTTCACAATGCATTGACCTGCCTGTATAGTAACAGCACAGCATCATATTTCAACATCCAACCACCTACCCTGGCTCAGTACTTTAATGGGGAATAACAACTGCAATGATTCAATGAGAAACAGCTTTTTTAAAACCTATCAAATTTGCCAAACTTAATTTTTCCCAAATAACACACAAAAAGTTGAAAACTCTATAAAAAAATCTGTTTTTTAAATGCACTGATTTTTCAAATTCAAGAAATTAGTGTTTACAATGTTTAAGCCACTATGGGATAAATTTTTCATACATTGAAAGAGGGTCAATAAAGAGGGGGCCTTTTAGAATAGGGGGTGGGGCTTCGTTTCAGTATATGCTGCTTGGAGTTTTACCCACTGGTCAAAGGTATTTAGAAGATGGTGATGTGGTTCCAGGACTCATTAAGGCAATTTCCAATGAAAACTAACCCTTTGATATACATAATTAATGAATGAACTAGAAGAAAACACAGGTTAACAAACAGAAACATTGATAAGTGTTTGTCTGCACTCAAAAACAAGGATCTTTTAGTGAAGAACGCCTTAATGAGAAAGGGGCTCAATGCTGTATTTATGGTCAGGCAAAATTTTTGAAGTAATTAAAGAATTTAGAAACCCAGTGTAATTCATTGCTTCTACAACTTCTTCTATTTTATTCACAAAATTATTGCCTTTTTACTATTAAGTCTATTTTTGCTTTTTGATCATCAAGCCTTTGAAAAATTGTCTGCTGATTTTCTAATATTTTGTTCATTGTTTCCAGCATAAGTTTATCCCTTTCCTCTTGTTGTCTCATCAGTAACTGCAGCTCTTTCTCTCTGAGCATTTGCTCCTGTCTTTTCAAATCTAAGAAGTCTTGGTGTTTCTTTTCTTCCAGTGCTAAATTCCTTTCCTTTATTTTATAATCACTCTTTCTCCCACTTTCCTCTCTCTTTTCTTTGCCCTGTCAATAATCAACCAATTCATAAACTGATTTCTTTCTCTTCTTTGCACTTTCTTGTCCTTCCCTTTCCTTTGTCTGTGAAAGCCTCTCCATTGACCGCTTCCTTACCCTCTCAGCTGTTTCTACCTCTTTTTCAACTTGTTTCTTTCTTTTAGCTTGAGCTTCTATCATTTCTTGTTCAACTGCTTCTGAAAATTCGATGACTGTCTCTAATGCTTCATCAAGCTCTGTTATTTCAGGACTGATGCCACTGGCTCTGTGCTCTGTCTTCTAAAAAGGCCTTCTCAAGCTTCGCATATCGCTCCGGGACGCCCCTCTGGTCTACACAAAACCTTAGCTCCTTGACTACATTAAGAGACTCTGCAACTTTATCCCGAGCATTTCCCCTTTCCCTACAACCATGTTTGAAATTAAATGGTTTGGTTAACAAAACTTCCTGTACCAACAGAAGATCATGCTCTTTTGTCCAAACCATTTTTGGCGATAATAGAGAGTTTCCGATTCAAGACGACTCAAGTGAGGACGGCTCATGGAGGTCTGGGTACTAACTGAGTTGAGGGGCCCTTATTCGCGTGTTCAATTTAAGTTACGAATGCGGAAGACGACTCAGAATAGGCGCCAAAATTGATTTTATATCGAAAATGGAGGAGGAAATGTTAGTTCTCATGCACGATGACGGCGAGATCGATGATGACGAATTCCTTGCTTTTCATGAGGCAAATAGACACGGAAACCTGCATGTTGGACTTCCATATTGGAAATATGAACGTTTTAATCTGGATGGGATGCGAGAGGACGAATGTGAGGTCGAGTTTCGGTTTAAGAAACAAGACATAGCTAGGCTCGCTGCTGCATTACACCTTCCAGATGTTTTTAAGTGCTCAAATGGAGTGGTAGTGGGGCCAGTTGAAGCACTATGTGTTTGCCTGAAACGTTTTGCGTACCCATGCAGATATGCAGACCTGATACCAAGGTTTGGAAGATCCGTGCCTCAACTTTGCATGATAACTAACCTTGTTGTTAATTTTTTATATGATTCATTTTCTGACCGGCTTCAAAACCTGAACCAGCCATGGCTTTCCCCACAACACCTGAAGATGTACGCACAGGCAATTCACAACAGAGGTGCTGCATTGGATAACTGCTGGGGATTCATTGATGGCACAGTAAGACCGATTTGTAGGCCCAAGGACAACCAGAGGGAAGTTTACAATGGACACAAACGGGTTCATGCCCTTAAGTTCCAGTCAGTTGTGACTCCCAATGGTCTCATTGCAAATCTTTTTGGTCCAGTTGAGGGAAGAAGACATGACAGTGGCATGTTAAATATGTCAGGCCTCTTGCATGATCTGGAACATCATTCATTTTCCCCAACTGGCCAAGCATTGTGTCTTTATGGTGACCCAGCTTATCCCCACAGAGTGCATCTCCAATGCCCATTTGCCAGAAGGGCTGACCTTACTCCAGAGGAAGAGGCATTTAACCAATCAATGAGTCAAGTTAGAATTTCTGTTGAGTGGGTATTTGGAGATATTGTGAATTACTTTAAATTCACAGATTTTAAAAAAGATCTTAAAATTGGTTTGAGCGCAGTTGGCAAGATCTACATGGTGTGTGCATTGCTACGCAACGGATTGACATGTTTATATGGCAACAACACCTCAAAATTTTTTGATGTCGATCCTCCAACTATCGAAGAGTATTTCCAGTAGGTTGTACCAATCAAAGATCTAAAAAACAGCTTTTGTAAAAGCTACCAAGAATTCTAAGTTTTCCTTTTCTTTCACACAGCACACGATTATCTGTTTTGTTTTCTCTTTAAAGAAATCATGGAAAGGAAAATTTTTTGTAACTACCATAGGATGCATTCCTGCTGTAGAATATTTAAAAAGTAATGATCAAACCTTTTGGGTACCAAAGTATGTAAAAAAAACAAAAGCTTTAACAGATTCCAAAATTTTGTCATTTTGAATATTTTTAACCATTAATACTTGACTTGATCGTTCCTAGGTTTCACTTAAAAATTTAAACATCAATCTCTTGACCACATGACAAAGAATTATAGAAATATTCACTTTCAAATCAAGGTCCTGGTTTTGTTTGCCTGTTTCTCAAACTTAAAGAATCTTTTGAAAAGACATGTAGCATAGTGTAAGTGAAAAGGCAAACAGGAAAATAAATTGTTAATCACAGGCAAGAAAAAAATATTTTTAAGGCAAAAAGTACCTGCTTTTTAAACTGAAATTGAAGATTAACTTATTTGAAACAACCAATTAAATAAATAGCACTGAATAGAGATAATCAAAACTTTCATAAGTGATGTTACTGTACCATATTTATACAAATCTGTGTTTTAGAGGGGGGAGGGGTGGTGCTTATTTACAACTCTTTTGGATGGAGCACGAGAAGATACCCAAACATTTGTATTTGTACAGAGTTAAAATTTGAGATCAATTATCCAATATTTCTCTATGAAATGAGTTGGAAAAGAATTTAGAATAAAAAAATTCAACATAATTTTACCTTTTGACTTTTTTAATACAATTAAGCAAATATCAGCAAACAATATTACTTTTCAAATCTTTCTAATATTTTTAAAATAGTTAAATTTTGTTCCTCAATAATTGTCAATTTATTTTTTATGCACGCTATTTGAGCATTCATCATCTTTTGCTGTTCCTCATATACTTTAAACTTCTCTTCAAATTGTTCATGCTCCCTTGCCTTTAATTCTTGACTTTTCTCTTTCACCTCTATCTCCCTCACCCTCAACTCAAGTTCTCTCTTTCTCAACTCAGTTTCTTGGTCCAACTTTCTTTCCTTTATTTCAACTTTCTTTCTTTCCAAATTAACTTCACTCTCTCTCAGTTTCATGTTTGATTCACGTTTCTCTCTCAGGTACCCAACATACTCACTTGTCTCACCACCCTTTTTCCTCTTAGAACATTCTCTTGCCTTAGTTTCTGAGAGACTCTCCATAGCCCTTTTCCTCACAGCCTGTGCCATTTCCTTCTCTGCCCCTGTTGCCTGTCTCTTACCATCATCACACTTTGCTTGCTGCTGCTCTGCACTGTCTTTTCTTTCCAAAATATCCTCCATTGCTTCATCTAGCTCACTGGGTTCTGGTGCTACCCCACTAGCCCTCATTTCTTCGTTCATTCTCCTTCTAAACCTCCTTTCTAATTTTACAAATCTGTCCCTAACAGCTCTCTGATCAACACTGAACTTTGGCCTTTCTACTCCATTTAATGCATCTGCAATTTTGTCCCAGCATTTCCCCCTTTCCCTTGACCCATGCTTATTTTGATAAGGCTCCTCTGCCAGAATTTCACGGCAAAGTAGCACATCATGATCTTTAGTCCATGTCATTTTAGGCCTATTCAAAATAAGTTTATATCAACACATATACAGGAAAGTTTTGGCTGAGACCTTAAAGCCCATCCATTTCAGGAGAGACCAGGAAAAAATTTCAACTATTTCAGCAAGGTAAACTAACCACTTGTTCTACTCAAAACAACATAAAACAGATTTCAATTTAAATAAAGTTTATTCAAAATGTAAATTCAAAAATGCATCAAGTACAAAAGCAAGTAATTCCAGCAAGTTAACTTTTTACTTTAAGAGTACTTCAAGATACAAAGTTGGTGACCATTCAGATACTGATCATACATAGGCTTTCTCCTTGTATGTACTGATAACTTCAACAAAACATCAGGAAATCTGGCAGGCTTTTGACCATTATTTTGCTGTCTCTCATCGGTAAATGCCACTTGATTTCGGTTTCAGGATAAGTAAGTTTCAATGCATTTGTTTAATAATGGAATCAATACAAACATGAGTGTTCTTTTGTGTGAATCTTCACAATTGGCGGCCATTTTGAACGATTGAAATGTATCCTGGAATAAAGATGTAAAAACAACGTTACTATATGTCTATTGTGGCACTGGAAATTTAGATATTTACCAACAATTCAACTTGAAAAACATATAATGCTCAGTGCCATTAGGACAGGCAGAGCTGAACACTCCGTGGTGTGTAGAAAAGAAAGGTTCTGAGCAAAAACTCAATAAATACACTCCAATTTTCACACCTAATGCGATCATCAGGTAACTGTCAATGAATTATCTAAGTTTATAACGATGTATTACAAAAGTGTTGAAGAAAACTCACCTTTTATTTCTGCGTCGAGCTCGCAACGTAAAAATCGAAAATTTGAGTCGTCCTCAGGAACAAGACGGCTCAAGCAAAGTGGGATTCCCCTTGACCGCGCTAGTTTCTAGATCCCTGTGAGCCGTCTTCGCTTCCCGCGTCGTGAATCGGAAACTCTCTAATTGTGTTATAGAAATTGCAACAACTTAACGTAAAGAAGTTATCTAATCTGATCAAATATGGGTGGCAGGAAATAACAAACTTAAATATTTTACCATGTAGAATAAAGTGCGCTGTTGTTGATTCTCACCTAAAAACTGCAGTGAAGTCGACAGTACGTAGAAATAGGCCACCAGAGGTAGTAGACTTGAGTAGTATGTGATGAGGATTCCCCCATACACTTGGACCGTGCTTGCATCCAGATCTCTAAAAGTAGCTGTAGTGACATACGTACCGAATCGTAAACTCTCTATTATTGGGGGGGGGGGAAGCAAAAATTTAGTAATGGTGTTCAAGGGAGTTTTAACAGAGATTCTGAAAACTAATAGAATCATGTCAGAACTTGTGTCTGTCCCAGTATTTTTGATGCCACTGAGCTCATTTTTGACCTTTTTGAAACCAAATTCTTGACTGGTTCAATGATTTACAAAGGTAGTTTCATTTTTAGCGACTTTGATACAAAGTTGCCCCTGAGAGTCAATAAAATGTCTAAAATATTACTTGAGGTGGAGTGAATTTAAATAAATAAGTTATGAATATGGTCTTTACTAATTTATTGAGGTTATGTTGTAATAATTGTAGCATTCTTGAGTATTTGCATGATATTGAGCATACCTTTTTAGGCGGTGTAAACTATAAAGCAACGAAATAAATGTGCGCATTTTTGCGTGTTCAGAATACTGTTAAGAGGCATAAATATTGTTAGAGGCCAAATTATGATATCACACTTCTCTGATAGCCAAATACTGTTGTGATGGATTTGCTTTGAAGCAATCCTGGGCCTATTTGGGCCAGTTCCGAATGACAACGCAATTTGTTCAGCTTCCCTGTACCACACCTCGTAATAGCTAACAATCTCTTTGTGCATCTTTTTAGCATCGTAAAAAGAAGAGCGACCTTCTCTTGGCACTTAACAAGTTCCATTGTTGGAGTTTGGAGCTGTTTTGTTAATGGTCTTGTAACCTCTAAACATCTCGAAACAACAACTAGAGGTGAACACATCAAGGCCATCAATTTTAGCAACCCAGCAAGTCGACAGACATCAATGAGCCCACAAAAAATTCTTCCATACAATTTTTTGTCCTCTTCGTGTCTCCATGTTGTCTTCTTCGTATCTCCACTGAGAACTTTTATATGGAATAATTTTCCTGCACTTTACAGTAAATGCAAAGGTCACGAAAATTATTCCATACAATTTTTTGTTCTTTGTATCGTACGGAATAAGTGTCACACACTTTAGAGTAAGTGCAAAGGTTGCGACAATTGTTCCATACAATTTTTTTCTTCTTTGTATATCCGCTGACTTTACCTTAGAAGTGACCAATACATGAGGTACAGTTACAAAAAAACCATATTTGTAACTGTACCTCATGTTTTGGTCACTTCTCTTTAACTTTTTTTAACCTTGGTCCTATCCCGATCAGCTCTTACTAAATCAAACAAATAATCACAGTTTTTATAGATAGTTCACCTATTGTATGTTAATTGAAAAAACCTATTTTTAAATTATGCGTTACTTTTTTAAAAAGAAAAAAATTTTGTCTCCTCCAAAAAAAAATTTTTCTTAGAAAAATTTGCAGTTTTTTAAAAAAATTGAAGTTTATTCAAAAAACAAAAAATATTAAACTACTATTAAATTAAAATTTTTTTCTAAGTATGAAAAAAAATTTGAATTTAGTTTAAAACTCCTCTTAAATAAAGAATTTCTAAAACTGGAATAAAATTTTTTTTTGAAGTTACTTTAAAAACTACTATTAAACCTAAAAATTTCTCATATAAAAAAATTCGAAGTATGAAAAACTGCACTTTTTTATTTACGTCACTATTTATATATCCATTGTCTATTTTAAACAATAGACGCTGTCTCTAAACAATAGACGCTACCAACTAACCAATCAAATCAATGACCACTTTTTTCTTATTTACCCAAGTAACCAATCAAATGACTGGACGTGTAATTTGATATGAGAATCTACTCTCTCTATAAAACTGCCATTCCAAAAAGTTTACAATTTGCAAACTACTGTCAAAGGGTACGGAACTGATAAAATACTTTTTCTGTTCATCAATATGGCCGAAGCTATACTTTAGAAAAAAAAACATTGCTGCAGTCAAACAGATAATCGATGAGTCTTTTAATGAACAGGAAGACGAAGACGATGTGCCATGAATTCAACTATCCAAAAGAGTGTTAAGATCGTAAGTAACTTCGTTTCTTTCGTTTTTATACTGTTCATTTTGCTTAAATATCTTTTTTTATACTGTTCGTTATTCGTTGATTTTCTACCGTATTACCTTACCTACAATTTTTAAACTTTTATTACAATTCTTTTTTAACTCTACATCTCTTTTTTTTGAAAAACTGCAAATTTTTTTTTTTGAAAAAATATAAGACTTTGAAAAAAAGACGAAAAATTTTTTCGTCTTTTTTTTCGAAGAGGCACAAAACGAATGTCTACTTTCGCCGCTGAATTGTGACATTCGTGTCTCACAATTTATATTTTCTGCCACAATATCAGCACCATTTGTAATAAGTTGTTTTAGTAACCATCTATGCTCCATCCAAGTAGATGAATCTATTTCTTCAATATTTGGAATTATTCTATGTAAAACAGTTTTTCCATATATTTCTTCAATATTTGGAATTATTCTATGTAAAACAGTATTTCCATATATATCTCGATCTTCTAAACATAGAGGTTATTTTTAATCATAACTAAAATTTGATCTATATGAACTATATTTTTATCAGACGCTTATTTTAATATTTCCGTCAAATGTGCTTTTTTGAAGTTCTTCCTCAAACGTCTGTATTGTATAGTTGTCTTCGTACTCTTTTTTAGAAAAACTCAAAAAAGAACCCATCACAATATATAAACTTCAATTATTTTTTCACAACTACAAATTAACTTGAAATTTATACTTTCAATTACAAAAAAATGAAGTTATATTAACTTATAAAACAGTACTACAAAAAAATTTTTAAACTTGTGAACAATGTACTTTCAAAAATGGTATCATATCTTCAATTGTTGATAAATCGTATTCCGCATTTTCACTTGATGAAGCATTTATACTCATACTTTCTTTCATATTTTCTTTCAGGCTGCGGGGCCGCCCTCTCCACGCAGTCGCTGTGCAGGAGCGCTAGGTTTTATATGCAACAGGAGGAACTTTGGTATATCCTACTTATATGATGCATGCGGCAACAAAGCGCCCACCTTATTCTTCAAAACGCTGAATCATTTCGGATGACTGTTGAAAAAATCAGATACAACACGCACATTTGCCAGCATCTGTTCTTCTTCTGGAAGGTCATAAATCGATGTAGCACATAAATTCAAGACATGTGAGCGACAGTGGACATACTTTCTGGTAGGTCTGCTGTATTCTAATAGCAGCACCCGAACACTTTCCTGCCATATTCCCCACATCATCATAACCCTGACCACGACAATATCACATATCAAGGCCAATGCTTAGAATCCCATCTTTGATTGTTTTGGCAAAACAGCCGCCAGAAAGGCCATTGACACAAGGAATAAAACCCAAGAATTACTGTCAACAATTCTGAAAAACATGGCCATCTGTTCAAAATTACTTACATCTGCTGCTTCATCTGCATGAATGGCAAATAATTTTGACACTTTTACTTTATTTGAAATTGTCTCTTTGATAAGAGAGCCACATACCTTGATAAGCTAATTCTGAGTTGTCTTGGACTTATAAGTGGCATGCAAAATGCTGATTGAAGGTAGCATTTTACTGCACTTTGCTAAAAATGCCAAAATAGCCTGCAGCTTATCAGGGTTATTATTTTCTACAAGACATCTCAATGGCCTCTCAAACCAAGAGTTTGTTGCCCACAAGTAATAACCCCTTCCAATATAATTTTCAGTATTTCCATGTTAATGGCGATTTTCTTTGATATTAGGGAATTCAATAGGACATTTACTGGTTCTTGCTTGTTTTCCAAACAGTTACAAAACTGTGACAACCTGAGAGTAGCAGTTAAGTGGACAGGTGATTTGCCATTGTTCTCATTGAATTTCTCTCTAGCCTTTTGCCATGCTTTAACTGGGCTTTTGAAAAAATTTACAATCTTGTTGGCGTTATGGCCACTTTCACCCCCAAAAAGAACACAGTTAATGCAGAAGGCACCATCAAGCAAGGGAAAATATGTTAGCCATGGATATAGGTCAAGCCATTTGTACTGAAAGCTACAGTGAAATTCATTCTTTGGAAGACAATGATTTGTTTGTGGTTTCCAGACATTGCAGATAATATCATACTTTTCGTCATTAGTTAATGGTTCTTTTTTGAGCAACTATGCTGATGTCCTTATCGTTTACAAAAGTAGCATTGTGCTGGACATTAGTTCTTTTTGAACTAGTTGTTTTTGGAATGAACTAGTTTGTTATGGTCAACGGAGAGGCCTTGAAAAGAGGAAGATCTTTTGAATACCAAGTGATCCATTGTCAGCATTTTGTGTTGTGGATGAGGAGTTGCATCAAATATATTGGTTTTGTCACACGGAAACAATATTGTAACAACATGAATTGGCACAAGAAAATGTACAGCCTCCCAAAATGTACGAAAGCGCATGACCATCATGGATATTCTTCCACCTTCTAGTTACCGATGTTTTGCATGTTAAAAAAAAATTGGCATTTATATGTTACATCCTCTCCGGTAGATCTACTGTAAAGGTTGTCAACGATTTTTTCAAAGTTTGGTTAAGGAAGTCCATCCCAATATGCTAGCCAATCAGGGGTTTTTTCTTTCTAATTGCTGCATATTAATAATAATGATGTTACATATCGGAATATAAGCGAGCCTGGTAGTGGAATAACGCATTCAGGTTGGATACCCTATTTATTGGATACCCTAATAAATATAGAATACGTGATTCAAAGTGGTGTTGCAACACGTAGTTGGGGAATTCATGGAGAAGGAGTCAAGGAAACAGGAAAAAGATCTAAAGCAAAGTTCTGGACGATTGATGTATCCGGAGCAAAACTGCCGCATAAGCTGTCCGAAGGAGGAGACTAACAACTTGGTCAGTATTTTCTTCCAATTTTACATATGAATGTAGATCTAGAAGCATTCAATCTTTTTGTTATTACAGTGAAAACTTCATTTCCCTTCAATTATAACTTACACAAAATTTACTATTTTTATACAACCTATCTCTCGCTACTATCCTACAATCTTAATTACAAAGCTTTTTATCTAAATAGCAGCACACTGAGGATGCATAGGTAATACTTGGAGACTGTGATTTCGTTATCTTGTGAAATATTTGTCCTGATTCATTAATAGCATTATTCCTAAAGAGACTTTTGAAAATCACAGGTGGCAGTATTTTCCGGCTCACAGTTACACCCACTACTGCAAGGGGATGTTCCATGTCCCAAGGATTGGTATTTTAATTCAACGCACGTTTGATGTTTCTGGCACGTCAAGCAAGAAGTTTTGGCTGCAAAATTCCCTACAGGGGCGACCCCAAACACAGCTGTATTACTCGTTGGTACGAATGATATATTGCAACATGTTATGGTTGATCGTGCGAGGAATGATTTCTATGGGTTGCTTGTCACTGTGCAGCAAAGGTTCCCCGAAGCAAAGGTTATAAAGGCTGATCCTTACATTATTTGGTAAAACTATGTCTGTGAGTTTTGATTTTCACGCTTCGAATAAAATAAAAAGTATCATTATCATTTCTCAATGTTTGTGAAAAGGCTCAGGTAACATAAATTTGTTCTTTAGGGGAGCATTCTTCTTTCATATTCTTATGGTCTGTTTCAGAACTGTGTTCCTATCGTTAGTCACATCTGCAAAGAAAAGTTCTACCAGGTAAAACCTCTTTGCACTGTACAGTTCATAGTATTTATTTTTTATTATCAAACACAGATTATTCCCGTATCAATATTGCCGCAGCTTGGTGAATTTTGGATTTGAGAGGAACTATATGATGGCCCATGAATGCAAGAAGCTTCAAATCCAGTCACTGGACGTAAAGCCAAATTTCCAAGTGGAGGATCGCTGTTTGAGGTGGTAGGAAGATGCAAGGACAAGGAACTGCTGTTGTTGGTAACGCTTGTAAAGCAGGCAGTCCTTCATCCCAGTGTAGAATGTTTCCAGGAGGTTGTTGCAAAAGCTTCACCACCGATGCAGTGCCTTAATTGTAGGGTAGTGAACAAAGCCCCACCTTTTCTTACCAATGCACAGTAGTCAGAAAAAAACCAGGACATTGTATATCTTCCATGAATATAAAAAATGTCTTTTATTGCCTTCCGCAATTTTAGTTTCTCTTCGGACGTGTTAAGGTTGAGAAATATCACCAGAAAAGGTCAATGGAAAAGAAACAACCCTTCGCAAAAAGGTAATCTGGACCCTATATTAAACGATCTAATTTTTGATTCATCTATAACACCCTTTCACGCTTGTTGACTTTCACATGTTTTTCGCAAGCTTGTTAATTTTGTTAACAAAAATACATAGTATTTCGACCTTTTACTGGAATCATCTAATTTGACATCCAGATAATTTTGCCAACACATGAGGTCACCTAGAGTCTCAAGAGGGGTTGCTGATTGATCAGTTGCCGTTAGTCGTTTGGAGACCTTTGGTGATATGATTGTTGCCAAATAGACTTCAATTATTAGACATATTTCAAATAAACACACAGATCATCCTGATCCTCTTTACACAGAAACCAATCATGGTGAACTTGAAAGACGTCTATGGATAAAAATTGGCAAGTGCTTTTTTGTTGTGTTTCTGTCTAAAAAATAAAAACATATTTTGCAGCCAAGAAAAAGTTTTTCCATATGGGTTTCGCTTCTACTTTGCTTAAAATTACTTCAAATTAACATAGTTTCAAACTGATAATATATTTTCAAAAATACACATTAAAAAGATAGAATGCATTTTACAGACCCTATGAACTTTGCCTTTACAATAAGTATTTCAACATCACCTGTTTTATGCTGAGAAGCAAGAGCCAATAGCCTTTTCTTTTAATAAAAATTATTTATACCGGGAAGCAAAGTATATGATCGGTTGAATGTGATCCTTACAAATAAGACCATTGTTGAAGACAAAGTTATCATCAGATGCACAAACAAGTTGTTTTGAATGTTTTCATTCCAGCCTGAATCATTAGCATCCAAAGATGACACATTTCTCATGGATAGGTACAATTTGCAGGTAATTAAGTGTTTTTATAAATGGAATGACTAGTATGGTGAACAAACGATTTTCATTTTCCTCAAATGATGCTAATGCATATGATCTTGTCCAGTAATTTAAAGACATTGACCTGACAGGAAAGAAAATCATCCAAAGACATTGCATTCTTTTAAAGAAACTCTTGCATCGTGCCATTTCAATGAGAACGTCAATTGACCTCAAGTAGAAACTGTAAGTGGAAAGAAGTGTTACAATGTTGTTTACCTTGAATTCAAACTTGATGAAGAAGCCGTTTGTTTCATCATCTGATAAGCTAATTTCCAGTTACACTGTGTCAAGAAATGCAGTGAAATTTGGTTCAATAAACTTGACAGGTGTAAACTTACTGGTTCTGGCTTTTTCCTGCACATCGTTTGTATGAGAGATTATTTTTATCCTTTTATAATGCCCCAACTTGTGTAAGAACAACTCTGTGTCATTACCAAACAATCCTCATATTGTGTTATGCCTAGCATAGTTTAAGGGGCACCATCAAAAATCATTTTGCCTTCAGCTTCGTTTGAAGTCTAGAGACAGACGTCGGGGGAGAAAGAAAGGGTTGCCTTTTGTTTCATATTGCACATCGATGTAAATCTCAGAAAGCTCTTGTGTTGATTGGGAGAACTCCATTTTCTGAACATCCTTCTTGTCTCGAGAAGGCCATGCTTACACACCAAAAATTAATACATTGGGATCATACTTAAATTTACATACTTAATCAATGTTAATAATGGACAAATAAAGGGAACATACATAAATAAATTAATAAATAGATCAAAGAAAATCAATGAGTATATAAATCATTGCAATCAACCAAAAATTAAAAAACCAGATCTGTTCATTTGGTGTCAAAACACAAAGATCATATTTTATGCGAGTGTAAATTGATTTATTAGCTTTGCTGTGTCTGTCTAATAATCACTGCCTTTCTATCCAGGGTTTTTCGAGGAAAATTTAGAGCTGCATATTTTTCTTGGGAGCTCTGTGTTGAAAGCATGATTATTGATTCCTATAAATATAAACAAAATGTACATGATGCTCAGATACAGGTCAGGGTCAGGCTTGTGTGCCAGACCAGTGGCATAGCCAGGGTTGGAAGATTGGAAGGGCAAAATTGAGTCCGACAGCAGAGGGTCCAGGGATTTACCTTAGAGAAAATGTTTGCTGGCCACACTCTTAAGAACGAGGGAGAAGGCCCCGTTTTGTAAATGCGTTCGGAAAAGCTATAGATTTTTCATGTGTTGATGGTTTTTTAAGTGGCTAACCCCCATTCTTCAACTGTCTTTTTTCTTCACAATACCTCTAACATTTATATTTGGTGTAAATAAATGATGGTCCAAAGATGTAAGCAAGTATCTAATAATAACAAGCAGTATGCAGAAGTTTCAAACTAAGTCCGTTATTATTGGAAAAAAATTTGCAAAATCCTTGACAAGCATTTCAGAATCCAGTTTTTTAAGGATTGAAGTTAGTTTAAGGATTTAATTCTATTTTAACAGGAATTTCTAAAGAGCACGAAGGACTTTCTATATAAACTCTAAAACAATTCAGTACCGAGTCTCTTGCAAGTGAAACAAACAGACAGTTTTTGAAACCAAGCCCTTTAAACTAGTTTAAAGTTTCAGAATATCTTTTACAGTCGTTTTCTTGCAGACCTTAAAACAATTCAATGGTGTCTGAAATATCAACTCTTGACAATGGATTGTGTGAAGCTTTGAGACAGCGGATAAAAGAAATCCAGTAGAAATAGCCATATTGAGATTCTTGTTTGCTGAGGTAATAGGTGTGGCGAAAATGCCTTTGTGGTTGAGATCTACTGAAGTTGATGCTTCAGATTTTGATGTCCGTGGACCTAGAGGACCAATAAATCCCATTTGGCCTTTCCGATGACTTTGAGCAAAGTCTTCCTTCATTTGGTTAAAACGCTCTATTAAGTGTATCCGTGATCTTGGATAGAAGTAACTTCTGGTTGAAGTTGGTAGTGTCATGTGAACTGTGAATGTGAGTGTAGGCTTTGCAGTTAAATTTCAGGCAGATTGAACATTTGTGGTCTCTTCCATATTTGCAAATCTTGGAATCTTGTTCACAACTGGCGACTTTGAAGCGGTTGAAGTCTCGACATATCTTTAGGGATGAATCTTTGAGCTTCGTTATCAGTTTGAGGCAATGAGATTTGTAATGACTGTAACCTTTGCAATATGAACAGGCGGCAAATAACATCCTTGTGTCTGTGAAAGTGATGCTTAATTGGTTCGGAATCAAATTTTCGAGCATATGACAACCACTGTGAGTTTTTGGCCATATAGAATCACAAGAGACCAAAGTCAATTATACAGAGTCATGAAAAACAAAATGTTGTTTGTGGAGCGACATTTGATAGCAACGAAATATACAATGTTTTAAAAACTTTCATTTTGTCTTTTCTTGCGCCATGCCAATAAGACGGGTGAAACTGATGACAATAACTAAAGATATAAAAAGCAATTGCAAAGCAACTTGAGAAGTGGTTGTCAAATTGTCCCCAATTTACTTGTCCGTCTGTTTTGTTTGACCACAGAACTATAAAATTTATATTGGAAAGTGGTGACATGGTTTAATTTTGCTCTGAATTATTATTTGAACAAGATTCTGTTTTGACAAAATCAATTTCGCAATTTCGCTAAAAATTCATGAAAATTTTGACAATATGTGTGTCTCAAAAATTATATAGCCATCATGAAGTTTTGTAAAAATCATATTTTCTCTACATCGAATGTCTTTCTATATCTATAATTTCCTTATCCAAATAGCTCTTCCTTTAGTTTCAGCGCTAGCTGTATCATATTGTCTGTGTTTCATCATTAAAACTTTTGTTTGTGTTTTCTACAAAAGTTTGCCTAATTTTTTTTTCATTAAAGCAAAATTTTAGACAGGGACTCTGTACACTGTTCAGGGCTCCGGAAAACAGGGAACAGAAGATTCATGCTTTTAGATAAAGAAATCCAATAAGTTTTTGTTTCGTATTTTACAGTTTTAATTGTTGCAAATTTTCAGCAGTGGTAGACTGGCACAGAACTTTTAATCGACCATGAAAATCTGAAGAGGGCTCTTGCCTGGGTGGGGTATATTGATTTTTGCAATGGTGTGGTAATGGACTGTTGCAGCATTGACGCTCCTGACCAATCAATTAACTTTCAATTGCCATAGTCTAAAATTTTACATAGACAACCAGATACTTCACTAACATAATAGCTTTTCAATTGTGTATTTTTAAAAATATGGAAATTTCACACCAGCTGCCTTGGCAGCCTATTGGTGTCTAGAACTGTGTTAATGATTATTGCACCCAATGCATTCCCAACGAAGAGTAAGCCACTCTGAGGGACTGTCTGCAGAAATACCATCAACAAAATAGCAAGATTTGTTCCCAATTTCGATGAGCTCAATGCAATGACTCTATTTGGAATATGCCGACAATTCACAGAGAACATTCCTGCTACAATTGCCTGGTGTCTGCAGAATGGGCTGCTTGCACGAATGATGTTGTGTCATGTTGGTGCCCTCAATAGATGCCAGGTGGGGTAACATGGCGATGCCCACAATGTCGAAGAAGGTTTAACATATGCAAGGGGGGTTTCTTTGAAGGTTCGAAGTTGCATTTGTGGCTAATAATAGGGCTTACCTATTTCTTGAGTTTAGACTGTGGACGAACAAGGGGCCTGTCGCAGAAGCAGGTCCTCAAGGAACTTGAAATCAAAAGCGAACACACGGTGGTTGATTGGAAGTAATTTTGCCGCGATGTCTGTGTGGAGCATTTTCTCAACACTCTGCAACAGATTGACGGACCTGGTCGCATTGTGGATATTGCTGAGAGTCTGTTCACCAAGAGGAAATATAATTGCGGCAGAATAATTCAAAGAGCTTCTTTCAATAACTGCTTCAGCAGCAACTTCGTTTCAGCATCTAAGGTTCTTCTCTTCAACCATGTGCCACCTAAAATTGTCATGAAAACTATATTTATTCAAAACAGAAAGAAATACCTCGTAGTGATGAATTGTGGTGTGTTTGTAAGAAGAAAGCATATTGGAAAATGCTTGTATGTGCTGGGGAAAACTGGACAATACGAAAATTTCATTACAAGTGTGTGGACATTAGAGGAAAACCAAAAAAGAATGGTTCTGCCAAACCTGCTCACCTTAGCAATAAGTTTGCTCACCTTGTAATTTCTATACGCTCCTTAAACGGAAATCGCATCTGATTGGTTAACTGTGCCGACCCTTGGCAACGTGGTAGCAACCGATCGGTGTTGAATGTTTACATACGGCGTTTCACTTTGATCGAAGATAAAATCAAATTCTAATGTCGAAATTCTCAATTTTATGTAGTTTTCTTGTGTCATTAATCATCATTAAAGTCTAATTATCGCTCAAGGCAAGAATTTGTGTCAAATCGTTAAACTTTGTTACTTTCCCAATTTGCTTCGAAACGCTGGTTGTTCAATTTGAGAATAATGGATACTGAAATCATCACGTTAGCGGGAATCTTGGATTTTTTTAAAGATGACACAAATACTGTCAGGAAAGGTGAATTGAAATTCAAGTCTGACTTTGTTTTGGACTTAAGAATCGATGAATTGACAGTCAATGCAAAGGTCAGAGCAACAATGAAGGACAAAAGCTATAGCGTTTCCTTGACGATTGATGGATCTGGTGGGGTCAAGCAGGCGATTTGCGAATGCCCCCGTGGAAAATGGATCTCAAAGACAGACCTCCCAAACTCATGGATTGCTCGTCCTAAAAAAGCGGCTAAACAGGAGGTGAGAACAATCTCTGATTTATTCCCCCATCCAAGGCCTGATTACAAAGCAGCTTCTAGAAAAGTAGATGAGGCAGATAAACAATTTCTCTTTGACCAGCTAAGTAGATCAGCTGCCTGTCCTTTGCAATGGATTATTGGCTCAGAACCCCCAAGTACATTATTGGATGGGGAATCTTTATGTGAACCGGTGCAAATTTTTCAGCTACTTGGGCTATTTAAAGAAGACCAAAATAGGTTTTTTGAAAAAGTGTTCAGTCTCAAGTGAGCAAATTGCTTGGCTAGCTGTGAACACAAAAGACCAGTACAAGTCGAGTTTATGGGGAAAACACAGGTACCTTCGCCTGACAGGAAGCAGTTTTTGGCTTATACTTGCAGCATATCAATGACATGCGTTGAATGGTAAACCATATCCACCATCTCTATTCAAAACACTTAAAGGTGAATATTCATTGGCTGGCAAGGACTCGATAATGTGGGGACAGATGCATGAAGAGAAGCTGTTCAAGAATATATTAAACTGACAGGTAATACTGTAAAGTCTGTTGGTTTAATATTATTACCTTGTGGTTTTCTTGGGTGTTCCCCAGACGGAATAATAAATTTGAAGGGTGTTGCAACCAATGATGTTGGTGTATTGGAAATAAAATGCCCTTGGAAACATTGTGACCATAAAGTTGCAGCAATTATCAAGGAAGAGGTGGAAAATAAAAGATCTACAAGCTTTTACCTTAATCTGGATGCAACTCTCAATGAAAGTCACAGTTACTGGCACCAAGTTCAAGGTGAAATGATAGCTGCAAATGCTACCAAGGCACATTTTGTTGTTTGGACAACAAGGGAAATAAAAGTTATTTATGTTAGCCGTAGCACATCATGGGCTGAGACTAACATTCCAAAGTTAAAAGATTTTTATGCTAATGAATTTTTAACACAATGTATTAACTAGTTTATGAAATGTTTTCTTCATTTTTCAGCAACAAGAAATATTTATTTATCAAAAACACCATTAATTATTGCTGATTGCAAATTTACCAAAGCAGCAAAAGTCTGCACAGGTTTGTTACACCAAGGTCTCAAACTTGCTGTTATCAAATTAAGTATTTTATAATTTTTTAATTTTTCTATGGCTCTCTCCAAATGTATGCGCTGACTGGCTATTTTCTTGCAAAACATGGCTTCTTCTTCATGGGATCAAAAGGTATGCCCAATTATTTTTATGTAGAATTTCATTTTCGATGGATCCAAAATGAAATGGTGGATTTTTGAGGTTGAAGGTTTTACTGAAGAACAATGTTTTACAAGGACGTGTAGCTGAAGAGGTTTGATAAAGGAGTACAGAAAGTATGGGAAGATGACAATAGTGCGAATTTCTTTATTCAAATTTAACTGGAAACGTCAAAAACTTTTGTTATGATATTGTTCGTTTTATTATAAAGTAATGTAATGTTTTTAAAATCTAGAAGTGCCTCTGCAATTATTTCCACTTCACTTTCCAATGAAAGTTTTTCCAATAGTTCAGTTATAGTCTGCCAAAATATGGTAAGCCAGATGGATTCAGAGTTGATTTGAACTTAAAGCTGGACAGACACTCCTTTTTTGAAATTTCGGCTCTTTGGCTCGATTTACATTGTAGACATCTGATAGTATGTTTACCAACGTCTGACATTCTTTTGCTATAGGTCTGACAATCTTGAAACACTCAAGTGTGACCTAAGTTTCTTTTTCTTCAAGAACGTTGTGGCCAGTTATTGGGTGGACTTGCCGGTTTCTCTCTTCAAAAGAAGTATCAGTCCTTGAAGTGAGCTGTGCGACACCTGTAAATAAAGAAATTATAAATTAGCGAATTCTAGCTTGAAACTGAACCACGTAAATAATTTAAATGATAAGCATGAAAGAAAAAGCCAACTCTTACCTTTGTAAGACTTGATAACAAGGTTTTTGAAGAGGTACATTTTGTTGTGCTGAATTCTATTATTAAGTGGCTCCCAGAGATGAAGTTCTGTTGTCCCAGAGCTGTCGTCAGCAATACAATCTTCTTCAACGTGTAGGGTTTCTCCCGTTCTGAAGAAGAAAACAGCGTTTGGGGGTTGGTTTCCGAATGATATGGTTGCTGTGGTCTTTATGATCTGGCTAAGCTTCAAGGTTGGCACTTCGGAAATATGGATGTTTGTCGCTTGACTTGAGATGGACAGTGGTGGCTGGAGATTTTCTGTTTTTTGATAGTCAAAATTGATGGTTTGCCTAGGGATATCAAATGCAGTTGACTCGTGATTGAAGATCATGATGCCTTCATTGTCTGACTTTGTATTTTTAAGACTTACGGTATTTCTTGAGCGTTGGAGTTCAGTAAGGTATTTATGTTGTTGGGTGTTGTATCCAATGACTTTTTGTACTTTGGACGGGCTTGTTTGTAAATGAAAATCATGTTACTTGTGTTTCCTTTTGAAATTTTTATCAGGGACAGGCAATGCAAGTAACCTTTGGAGGACTCTAGTGAAAAGAAGAAATAATCAGTCAATGGAACTTTCGAATATTAGCAAGTAGTAAGCACATTATATTGGTTTGTTTTAAGAAAAAGAATGGAAATCTTTTGGTGTTGGAGAAAGTTCTTTTAAGAATTGGTTTCTACAAATAAAAATGTATTTGACGATGTTTAAAATTTTGCAAAGGGCTGCATTTTATTCACAAATATGAGCAAGAAACTGTCTGAGAATATTGATTGTTTTCTCCAGGTTTAAACTGTAGTCAGTAAATGATAATGTCAAGGTTTTGTTTTAACCCACAATGGTAGTTGTGCGCTAGTATATGGATGTTTATTTTAAAAGAATAATATCCACACAAGCCAGAAAAGGTACAAAGACATTGAAGTTACTTGAGGGATCTTGAGATTTCTTTGCCTCTGCCATTTTGATGATGTATTTAAACGTTCTTTTGGTGCAACAAAATGTGGTGTAGAACTGCGACTTGTGGTAAAAATGCTGAATTGATTTTATATGTTATCAAAGGGCTAGAGCGTGGTAAATATCATTGTTGAAATATGGAATTTATTTTGTATTTTTTGTTGAAATCGGAAATCGATGATAATTTTTTAGATTTTTGTAGCAAATTCAGCCGTGAAAACGAATGATTATTTGAGGATAATTTAAAAAAAGCTATTGAAAGCATTGTGCTAAGAGCTCTCTAAAATTTTGGTAGCTTTCCGACTGTTCCATTTCTTGGTTGTCTGCTGTTTTTCCTTTTTCAAATTGATTGATTGGTAGATTGCAAATATCGTATTGACCTTGAACTCATAGCTCATAAAATCCAACTTTCCCACCTACATTTGTTACTATATAAAATCCTTTTATGTTAAGAATAAAAAAATGCACCGGAAGTGCAAAAAAGCCTATTCCAGCTCACAATGTTGCAGAAACTGGGCCATTTATTGTCTGGAGAAGAAGACAAGAACCAAAAAAACTCTGAACTTTTTTCTTCTGTTCTCTCCTCTCCAGCTAATGCAAACTATTAATTAATTCAAACCTGTATGCTGTTCATGGTGAAGAGATTGGCAAAAGTTACACGGCACTGTCTCATGGTGAGCTCGCATGGAGGAAAATTGATTTGATAGAGTTTTGCAGGTCTCTGGCCCACCTTATTTATATGGGCATTGTCAAGATATCCTATTTTCTGGATTGTTATGGTCAATGTTTCCGCCAACATTTAGAAGATATTGTGCAATTCTTGCAATCTTTAAGGCTGTGATCAACAAAATGTGATACACTGGGGTTTTAAATGATGGATTTTAGCAGACTAAGGTCTTCCACTGGCTACAGTTGGGATATGGTAGTTAATACTGGCAGAAAAAAAGGAGACGGCTGGGGTGACTACACGGTGAAGTAGACAACCTTCAAGGAATACCTGAAGCATTAGGTAGACAAAGGTCCACGTCAGCGGCAGATGAGATTTCTGGTTTATTGTCGCGGGTAGCAGCAAGAGTTGTTATCAAGCTGACAGAGCCTTTGAAGAATAAGGGCTACATACTGTTTGTTGATAATTGTTATACAAGCATTCCTTTATTTTAATATCTTTCATCTGTTGGGTTACATGCAGTTGAAACCATAATAGAGAGTTTACGAAACAAGACGAGACAGATCGAGAAAAGCTGAAAAGGTCTGGAATCTAGTCATCCCGATGCGTTGACCTTTTTCCTGTTACGATTCACAACGTGCCTGTCACAACGCATTGCAGTTTGGTGCCAAATTCAGTTTACTCGAAGCTGCAAAAATGGCAAACAATTTATTCATCGTGCTCGAGGAAAATATGGAAGATGTCGAGGACTAACTTTTATTACATTGTGGTCACGCAAACAACGTTAATCTTCATTTAGAGCTTCCATATTTTAAATATGAACGTTTTAGCTTGGAAGATATGGCCAAAGAGGAGTGCTCTGTTGAAATGCGTTTCGAAAAGCAGGACATATACAATCTTGTGCAAGCCCTTCAACTGCCAGAAATTTATCGATGCTACAATGGTGTCATTGTCGGCCCCGTTGAAGCGCTTTGTGTCTGCTTGAAGCGTTTCACATATCCCTGCCGGTACGCGGATTTAGTCCCAAGATTCGGAAGGCCTGTTCCGCAACTATGCATGATCTTCAACTTGGTGGTTGAGGATATATATGACAGGTTTTCCAATCTACTGAACGACCTGAACCAGCCATGGCTCTCAAGAGAGAATCTCCAGTCATTTGCTGATGCAATACACAACAAAGGTGCTGCATTGGACAACTGCTGGGGATTTGTTGATGGCACTGTCAGGCCTATATGCAGGCCAACCAGGAATCAAAAAGCTGTCTACAATGGGCACAAAAGGGTTCATGCACTCAAGTTTCAGTCAGTTGTTGCTCCAAATGGTATGATTGCAAACCTTTTTGGGCCTGTTGAAGGTAGAAGACATGACAGCAGATTGCTTGTAATGTCTGGTCTACTTAAGCAATTAGAACAGCACTCGTTTTCCCCAGATAGTGCAACTCTTTGCATCTATGGTGACCCTGCATTCCCGCATCGTGTTCACCTCCAGCGCCCGTTTGCAAGAAGAGCAGCTCTCACACCTGATGAGCTTGCTTTTAATCAATCAATGAGTCACGTAAGAATTTCTGTTGAGTGGGTGTTTGGAGACATCATCAACTCCTTCAAGTTTGTGGATTTCAAGAAAAATCTCAAGATTGGCCTCAGTTCTGTTGGGAAATTTTATGCTGTCAGTGCATTGTTAAGAAATGCTTTAACCTGCTTGTATGGCAACAGCACTGCAAAATTCTTTTTAGCCCCCAACACTAAATGAGTATTTCTTGTAGATATACTTGATTCCACAGACTTGAAAACCAGAAAGGCACAATAAACAGTTTTTTTTAAAAACTACCACATTGCCATTGTAACACCCACACTTAATATTGCTACACATGTTGCCTGCTTGATATTGACTGCTGTGCTGGCCACTTTTTGGCTGGTTCCTTCTGCGCTGGCTCCTTCTGCGCTGGCTCCTTCTGCGCTGGCTCCTTCTGCGCTGGCTCCTTCTGCGCTGGCTCCTTCTGCGCTGGCTCCTTCTGCGCTGGCTCCTTCTGCGCTGGCTCCTTCTGCGCTGGCTCCTTCTGCGCTGGCTCCTTCTGCGCTGGCTCCTTCTACCCCGCATTACAGATTCTTGGTTTTTCAGGTGGCACTGGCGGGTGTTTGTCCATGGCCTCTTCGAATTCTTTTTGTCTTTAGGAGATTCAGGGGGTCGTATCAGGGGGTTCTTCATCCAATCCAACAGTTAAAAGTCCCTGTAGAACAGTTTAAAAATCACTGCTCCTGGATCGTAGTCGAGCAAGTGAAGGTTGTCTAGCGACTTGACTCTTGACAGTGCAACGTACGCCTGGCCGCTGGCAAAGAAGTTCTTGTTCAGCAATATGTATGCTTTCTCTAGAGTCATACTCTGAACTTTGTGAACGGTGAATGCCTATCCTAGAAGCAAGGGAATTTGGTACAAACATACTGAACTACAGCTTCAGGGAATGAAAGATTCTGCTTCATCCTGGTCCCCACATTTTTTCCTGACAGTTTTCACATTTTCAACAGTAGTATAGTTTTGTGATTCTGCACCATTGCTGTACCATTGAACCAGCTGTGTTCAACATCTATATTCTTGGTAAGAACAATTCTTGCAACCACCTTCAGAGTAAGGGTGTCCTCGAGTCATTCTTTATGATAAGAGCGTCACTTTTTTATAACAGCTTCTGAAACAGGATTGCCTGTTACATGTGAATCAGTAGCATCAAATGTAAAAAGTTCTGTATCAAGCTTGTCTAGAAAGATACTATTCCAATGGTTTCGCTCCCTTCTAAAGGAACAAATAATGGCTGCATTGCCTAGATCAATAGCATCAATGTCATCAATTGAAACAACTTTAGTTCTCAGAATGTCATCAATTTCACAATTTGTCTTACCAAGACATATAGTTGACAGCATATGTTGAAACGTTTCATCATCTTGACGCTTTATATCCTTGAGCATCACAATACTGAACTTCCTCCATAAGAAGGAATCAAATATGTCACGCTCAATGGCTGGAAGTTGTGCAGGATCACCCATTAAAATGATGTGCTTACTTCCAAATTGCATATGCTGCAAAAGTGACAGACTCAATGTGAATGTTGTTGACCCTTAAGTTACCAAGATCTGCATGATCTGGATTGAAGTCAGCAACAGTGACTTCTTCTTCATCTTCGACTGCATCGGCTCGATGGGCAGTTGTTACCTCATCAATGAACGTATTGAATTCGTCTTCACCGATCCAGTCCATGTCGCATAAGGATTGTGCCATCTTGCGCAGACGAGCGAGTGAGAACCCTCTTTGTCTGGCATCCTGGAGAGCAGTCATGGCGTCGTCTTGCTCTTCAATCAGGTTACGAATGGCACATTCTTCCATGTACGTTTTTGACACGTTGTTTGGAGAAATGACAGGCGTTTCTTTCCGCAAAGGCAGATTCAACACCAGCTTCTGCATGTAGTAGTTCTCCTGGTTTTCACCGTTCGGAAGGTAGAATCTCCACCAGGCAACAGCTTCAACCTTGCGCTGTTTCCATCTTCTACCCATTCAGTCAACAAGGACTGCCGGACATACGTCTGACGTGTCTTCCTCATCATCTTGTTGTAAATTAGAACGACGACTATTATTAGATCTGTCTAATAAATATTTCTCAGCCCAGTCAACGTATAAAACGTTTTCGAGCTGTTGAGGGCGTTCCATGTACGTATCCAACAGATTAGAATAAAAAATATCATCACTGTCTGTATTGCAAGGAAGATCCTTCTTATGATTAACATTTCCCTTCTTATGTTTGGTGGTTTGCTAATTTTAGCTACGGTTCTAAGTGCAATTGTCGAAGAAGGGATCTGCGTGGAATTGCGCAGTTTTATTTTGGGATCATAAGCTGTGGTGTGACAGATTGAAAAAGGGCATTTCACCTCTATGCATGCCCTCCCGCAGAATTGACATGAAACAATAGTCAGGGCTTCCACCAGCAAATGGCATGTCTTGACATAAGAACAACCCACATGATGTTATTTTCACATGATTATGGTGCTTTCCAAACTCTTTCTTGAAGGATTCTATTGCAACTGGTTCCATTGCTCTTCTATACTTTAGAGATGGCAGTTGGTCAACTATATCTGTGGCTCCAGCAATTTTGGAATAGATATTCCTCAATGAGTCTCTCTTAGAATCCCCCTTTCTCAAAGTGGCCATACAAGTTTTGACATCATGTCCCTTAGATCCAGTGATAACATGCTTTCTAAAGAAATGCGAATGTTGCTTATCTGCCTGTCCTCTGGTTAACATCTCTATTGTGCTTATACCTTCCATTTTTACCTCTTTTATATGGTTCAAGAAATCAACCCCATTCTGCTCACAGCCTCAATCCTAAAGAGAGCTGCTACAACATGATTGCATGTCTGAGACAGTCCAGCCATGAATGAGCAGTGTGTTGAGACAATGTTTCCCATTACATTTCCCCAAACAGATCCACAGTTTATGTGGGGTATCATTGATTCGTTGTGATGGTCTGCAATTTCCCTTGAGAAAACAGAACTCACTATCATCAGCAATGGGATGAAAAAGTAATGGTGATAGCCAACCCTGCGAATAGAAACTGTAGCCCTTTGACTGTTTATATTCAGAGAGATCATTACTGGAGAGCTCATTTGGATGAAATGACAGAAAGTTATAAATATCTGGATAGAGAGTAACAGGCCTTTGGTGCTCAAGGTGATCCCTAACAAAACAAGGTCTCATTGATGACATAAGCACAACAAGAAATTTGCTCGTTTTGAGTTTTCTTAGGCCAATAGTTTGCATTTCTTGGTGCATTTTAAAAAGGCCTCTTTAGAACAACACTTTCACTATCAATTCTTAAATCTAGGTGAGCCTGAAAATTGTCACAGTCATATTGAATCCAAAGAGAACAACAATTTTCGCAATGGATATTATAATTTCTCTATTGGCTGAAATAGTATCCTAAAGTATTTTGCCCTGAATAATATTTATGTGTCATTCGTGACAATAGCAGCGTGAGTGCTAGTGCGAGATCGGGTCTGTACTGTGTTGTTGTATTCTTTGGAAAGGCATGTTTGAAGTATTGGAATGAATAGGGATTTCATGGATACTTTGTGTGATGTATATACTCTAAAGCCTGAAATACAGGATCAGTTTTTAACTAACTGTTTACAGTTTTTGAGTATAAATTGTATTAAGCAAAAACTGATGCATTATTGGTCGTCAGTTTTTGACTGAAGAAGTTCAACATGTCCAATTTTGTCAGTTTTTAACAAATGGGATTTCTATTTATTCCTAAAGACTCAAAATTTTGTTTTAAGCTGATGCCACGCTAAAAACCTAGCGATGCAAATTTTTTCAGTGCAGCATTTATTTCAAAATGAGGAAAGTTTGAAACACAGATGAGTTCATATATGCATTGAAGTACAGAAAATTATTATGCAATGTAACGTCAGTCTAGGAAGAAAGTTTCATAATGCGAAAAGTTTGAAAATGATCCCTTTTTCCTTTTTTCAGTATTTTTTGCCTTTTCTTGACTACCAAAGCTGCAGCAAAAATGACCACAGTTAGAAACACAATGCCCAGAGTTCAACAGTTAAGGCAATATTTAGGCAAATAATGGTGGCTGATTTTTCACCCACAGGCATTGTGCAGGGTGACTTCGAATGAGGACCTTTGTAAAGCTGGCAACGTGTGTTTACTGTTGTCAATAAGGTACTTGTACTGGATACATTTGCTTCCTATGTGTCATAACGTGACAGGGGTGACTGAGTAACTTGGGAAAAGCCTGTTTCCGTTTGCTCCTTCTGGGTAATCTACTCTTTTAGAATAGTTTCAGAAGAAAATTTACACCAGAAAATCACCAATAGAACTCAAACTTCTTCAACTATAGGAATAATAAAGGGGGCACAAGCAGTAACGTTGATCTTCAGGGCTTCAAGTGAGCGTATATCACCCATTAATGAATTATAGAACTGCCTTAAACTGGTAACTGAGTGTGTTGGCTTTGGCATCTTTGAAATGTTAACCTGAATACCTTTCACAAATCCTCTAGCAAACAAACTTTTGGTCCATTTACACCAGTTACAATATAACAATGTCCGGGACAATAACTCACAGAATGATAGTCACAATGGCTTCTGTTGATTGCTCAGATGAAAGATATTGCTGTAAGGTGCCTCAATATCTCAAAAATTTCATTAAAAATTCTTTCATGGGAGATATCTCTCAGGATGACAGTGGATTTGGTGCCTGAATTGGTACTATTCACATTGGTTTACATATTATCGATCACATAAATGTCTAAAGGTCTTTAACACATGTATAAATGTAGACTTACATTTTACTTAACAGAAAACAAAGACAAGGAAAAAGCAGGCATTGACTGGGTGCCAAACAATTAATGCCGGAAAATTGAAGCTAGCTGCAGAAAAGAAAAGGAATGAATCAACTTTATCTATATGAGGGATGTTGACTGTGGCTGCTGAAGTATGTTACCACATAAATTGCTATATGAGTTATATCAATTTCTCAAATTTTAAAGTCAATGACCAGCCACCAGTACAGCTTTATAATGTGTCATTTGGAAAAACGTGCGACCAGATTGTTCAAAAGAAAATTATCAGTGACAAAGAGGCTATGTTCATGATTAAACTGTAACATGAATTTAAATAGATTTTTTCTCAGACAGAAGGTAAAGAGGCATCTAATTATAGAGCATTTCGAGTCAAACAGAGGTTGACAAACCGCTTTCCTCAGCTTATTTCTCATACACCTGGTCACAGGAACAAAAGTGAAATTATATTCTGTGAGGATCTTTCTGTTTGGTCAGTAATTGAAGATAGTACAATTACAACAAATGAGATTGATGACAGTGACTATGAGTTGTACTCAATTAGAATATCAGAATTCATAAGATTATAATAGAACCTTGTTCTATGCAGCACTTATTATTCGAAAATACATGACTGAATGTCCAAAATTCTTCACCCATTGGCCCCCAAAAATTGGAGAATTTAGTTTAGTGAATGCAAGAAGTAAAATTCCTGCCAAGCTGTCCAATTTTTTGGCAGGGGCCCTAAATATTTCGGATGAATTGATTCAGGATAATGTGCAAATAGAAATTCCTGAAAAAGATCAGTTGCAAGTTCTTTCAATTGCACAAGACATAATCTATGTAGCTTCAAGAAGCAGACACTTTAAGCACTAGGCTTAGAAATCACTGTTAGGTAAATGAGGCACAAGACCTGACCAAGATAGTGAATGGGTTTGGGAATGCCGCTTTCCATTTAGCAGTTTTGTCACTAGATACTGCTTTAGCATATCAACAGCTAAACAGTGACTTTGTTATACCAAAGGGCATCGTAAAAAATACTCTGACAACAATGTTTTCGGACAACATCAATTTTTGAGAAGAAACAGCAACTGATTTTGGAACAACACATGGCAATGACAAATGGAATCGTAATTCAACAACAGAGAGATTCCAGTGAGCGGCCTCCTAGTTCAGAAAGTGCTGTTCCAATCAAAAAGTCAATTTGTTGTATGAAGCAATTCGTTGTATGAAGCAAGTACCACAACAAATTGAGCCATACTATCTAGGCAAGAAAGAGTCACCAAATTTATATTCAGTGGCAACTAGCATTGACATAGAACTCTCCCAGCATCAATGTCCTCTATCTCAAAGTCAAATAATAGACTTTTCATAAATTGCCTGCAAAGAAATAGGAAGTAAAGAGAACAGTTTACTCCCAGGTTGGACTAGTTTTGATTCCATAATTTCAGAAAAGCCACCTAGGGTGTCTCGTATTGCATATCTACCCGTTATTGATGCCCCAATCACAGATATGTCCAGTATCAAAGGAATATTGACCAGAAGCTTAGACATAATGATGATGTTGGATATTTTCTGCTCTGTGTTGATGAAGCTGTACAACAAGTTCCATGGAAGTCTGAAGACTATATAAAACGATTTGTTGTCAGGTTGGGGGATTTTCATGCATGCATGTCATATGCCACTGCAACCTTCTGTAGATTTCCTGAAGCGGGTCTTCAGATTTGATATTTCAGTTTATCATAAAATTTGATATTCATTTTCTGTTCCTCGATGATGTTAATTGTTTCCATGTTTTTAAGTTCTCAAAAGATGCCCTCGCATAGTAGATTTCTAAGAACCTATATGTCCATATATACACATCTTGTGTTTGATAAGGACCTATTTATTGAGTCAGAGACAGTGGCTGCTGGTTTTATTGATAGAGTAGTACAACCAGTGCATCAGAGCACAACAAATTGCATATGAAGCTCTCAAGCGAACAGTTTCAAGCATTTTTAATGGTTTTGAGCAATGACAATGCTTTGGAAATCAGATGCTTCATAGAGGTCATGTCCGAAACTGCTCATGATGAGAAATTGTTTCAGGATCATTTGAACTGCCCTTTACTGGAGGACACAGTGTTAAGGTATATGATTATATGCTTTCCTAAGTGATGAATTTTATGACATTTTTTAATCTTCTTTGTCCCACTTGAAACCATTCTTTT